TAAATCCACCAGAAACAATAGTAGTCCGTCCACCAGCCGTAATAGTGAATTGTGATACTCCAGCCACTTTGGCGTCGATGAGAGAAAAGCCAGTGGTCAGGACCGTGGTGTCCACGGTTAGCAGTGCATTCGTAAAGGCTCCAGATGCCGCCTTGTTCATAACTATGAGCGTGTCGGCAGCCGTGCCAGTGTCATAAATTCTTGCTCCGCCCGTGGTGACAGTGACGCCAGTGTCAACAGCAGTGATGCCTCCAGTGATGCTTGCTCCACCAGCACTTATGGTCGTTAGCCCTGATGCGTCAACGCGGAACTTAGAAACCGCGAGGACTTTTGCATCAATCAGAGAAAAGCTATCGGAGGATTGTAAGGCCGACGTGTCCAATCCGAGCAGTGTACCTGAAAATGATCGCGACATATCGGTATTTCGGATATCAAGAGTGCTTGTTGTGGCCGCGTTGGAGTCGGATATAATGGCCCCGCCACCACCACTACCAACAATCGTGGTTAAACCGCTTGCGGCTACTTTAAATCGAGATGTGCCACTCGACTGGGCATCAATCAGCGTGTAAAGCTTGCTTGTCGAGATGGCATTCATTTTTAAAAGCGCGCTCGTGAAGCCTGTTGTCAGTCTGTTTGAGATCATAAGCGTATTGATGGTGGCAGAGTTGTCAGAGATCATTGCACCACCACTTCCTTGACCCACAATCGTGGTGAGCCCGGTCGCGTCTACTTTGAATACAGACGTGCCACTGGATTTTCCATCAATGAACGAAAAGAGCTGATCCGACGACGTTGCGCTCATGGACAGCAGCGAACCAGCAAACCCTGAACCCGCCGTGTTGGTCACGGCGAGTGTACTGGTTGCATCAGCTGCCCTGTCGGAAATAATTACTCCACCTTTGCCTTGGCCGTTCACCGTGGTAAGGCCTGTTGCGTCAACCTTAAAGACGGAGGTAGGTGTCGCTCCCACCGCTGCTTCGATTAAATAATGCATACTAGTCGAAGGAAGTACCGTCGATTTGGAGTTGATGTACAAAACCCTTGCATTGTTGGAGAATGAAGCAGAAGTCGCCTCAACGGTGAAAATGTCTGCCACAGAAGAAGTTGACGCAATCGATCCACCACCGTCAATGACATCAAGCCCGCCCAACTCGATGACACTGCCTCCGTTTTTTATACGTAGTCCTCCAAAGTCGATCGTCCCACCACCATACACAACATGAAATCCACCAGTATCTATAGTAGCTCCTCCCGCTACGACGTGGAGCCCCCCTTGCATGATTGTTGTGAGTCCAGAATTACTGATGGAAACCAGGGGAATTGGTGCATTATTACCAACTTTTGTTGTCACTTGTAGCATTCTGTGAGCCACACTGGAAAACGTTTGTATAGCGATCGCATCGCCACCAAAAGTTGTTTCCGTAGCTTGTACAAGGAGTGCAGGGGATGCAAGATCCCCGTTAAAGACTTGTGCTCCTCCATTTCCAGCCACGACCAAGCCACCGTTGGCAATTGTCGTTCGTCCGGAAGCTTCTACTGTAAATGCAGGTACGTTGTTTGCGGAGGCCTCGATAAGAATAAAATCCGATGCGCTAGGAAATAGACTCGGTCGCGAAGCTGCCAGCTTCATCAGCGAGTTACTAAACAAACTATAAGAGTTTGTTACGGTGAGACTTGGTACGTCGAGATCATGAGAAATCGTTCCTCCACCGGAAACAACCTTCAAACCACCAGTGTAAATGGTGGTCAGACCGTCGCCACGAATTTCAACAACTGGGTTTGAATCTCCAGTCATTGCTTCTAGTAATTTATATGCACTGTTTGATGATCTAGTAGTTCGAATTTTCAAAGTCGTACCTGCAAATGTTGCGTGTGTATTTGCAACATCCGCCGCCGTTGCCGATTGGGCACTAGTAGCTATTGTCAACGAGCCAGTTGATAATTCAAGATCTCCATGTTGGATTTTTGTATCACCCATCCCGTTCATTATAAGAATTGGCAATGTGGATGACTCAATTTTTAAGAAGTTGAAGTCAGCTTGAGAGCCTTTCGCTGTTTTTAGATGTAAAACAGTTCCTGTATATGTGAGTCCCATCGGACTGATAACAAAACCATCATTGTCATCGATACTGTCCGGAATATAAGATGGCTGGTGGCAATCAAGTCCTTTGAAATCGGCGTAGCACAAACACTGACCTGTCGTGAAATCACAAAGTCCACGGTTTGAGCAATACTCGTGTTCTAAAAAAGAGAATCGAAGAATCTAAGCTAGTTGAAACGTAACAGTTGCGATAATGGTGCAATAGAAGCTTACCGATAACATTTGCGGTCGTAACATCACTTATCACACAACTAGGCAAGTTCAAACTTGTTACTTTCGTTAAATCGCATGTAAAACTCGATAATGGTGGATTTCCAGTGTGAAACAGCAAATTATTTTCTCCACCAAGATGCACCCATTCTTGAAAAGTCACTGTGTAAATAGCTCCTCTAGTCACGGGATCAACACTTGTGATTGTACACGAAGCTTTTAACACAGATCGCAAATTCATAATGGCTTGAGCACAAGCTTGCTCGTGAGCAGAATCTGCAGCTGCAGCTACATCAAATGCTGCTACGTCTCCGAGAAAACGCACTTGAATTAAGCCTGCAAGTGCAAGATTAGACGACGCGTCTGCACCAACCTGAATCTGAATTTGGCGATGCACTTGGCCCGTTGTGAGAGGGTCGTCATTCTTTGCACACATCACTGTAGATTATTATAATCCAGTGTTACACTTTTTCTTAGACTCATTACATGCATCGTACACTGAGAGCAGTCAGGTCCTGTGTAGCCCATATCACACATACAGCTTGATACACTGTCTTTCTCCCAATTAGAATAGACAGGTCCGACACCGTCACCAGCAACATTTGGCAACGAATCCGGGCCGTATCTCAGTGCTAATATTGCGGACGAGTAGCACATTCCGTGGCCTGAACAATTTGATGGGCAACGGACTATACGCAGCGAAGAATAGTTAGCATCAAATCAGTGTCAGTAATGTCTACACGCACGTCGTTGGCAAGCAGCCCCTGAATATCCGTCAAAGCACGTGCACTCTCCCTATAAACGATCAACGCACATCAAATACGTGTCTATAACGAAGCGAGTGAAAGAAGACCCACTCGGGAATAATCGCACACGCCGCGGTTAGAGCACTCGGCGTGTGCATGAGCCAAATTCGTTGTCCTGGCCTTATCTGTCCAAGCTACTCCTACGGGGCATCTTCGCATCGAGCAATCGGGCGCCAACGCCCAGTCGGCATCACAAATACATTGGCTGAATTCGATAGAGCAGTAAAAGTCAGGATGTGCAATATGATGACTTTTGATAATATGAATGCCTCACTTAGAGGAACCGCAACGACCATGACCCGAGCACGAGTTGGCACATGCTGCATTTGCGATTTGTATGATCGAGAGTACATGTAACACAAACAGTATCCATTCAATTTCAAGCGCTCTTCCCATTTGACTATTGCTGGGACGCTTAGCGGAAGCGGAATCAATCGATCTTTGGATACTTACAAGCAATGGACGGAATCGATCACCGAAATGTGACTCTTAAATGTTGAAGTGGCTCCTTAACAGCAAATTTTTCGTATCATTTTTTTCATAATTTTACCACCACTAATGAGCTCAGACCGATCTCCAGCTCCGGTGTACGCGGATAGCATCGTCGTCGAGGTAGAGCATCCGCCTAAGCGTCCTAA